GGGGAGTAACAATGTTGGCTTTCCATTTCAAAAGGCTCCCTCTGGCTGATGGAGAGAATAGACAGACTGGGGTGGGGCGGGGGGAGAGCACTGGGAAGCAGGGAGGCGCCGCTGCATCAACTTGCAAAAGCAAAAAATTGGAATTGACATAAATGTTTGTCAACAGGGAGTTTGGTGCATCCATACTATGAAATACAAGACAGAGAGAGAGAGGAACAGCAAGACGACCCCTGTGGCCGAGGCGGAGAAGGAGAGGAAGTCAGAGAGGGAACAGGGTTATGGAGCCTACACTGAGGACTTTGGCTTTTACTGAGCGAGGGGGGAAAGCCATGAGAGGGTTTGAACAGAGAAGGGATATGATTGGACTCAGGTGTGTGGGGAGGCGGGGACAGACACAAGGGTGCAAGTAGAGAAACCAGGGAGGAGGCTACTCCAATAGTCCCGGTAAGAATTGATGGTGGCTTCGACTGAGGTAGTAGCAGTGTAAAGACGGGGAGAAGTGGTTAGATTCTGGATGCTTCTTTTACAAACTTTTTGTTTTTGGTAGTAACAAATTTACAGAAAAGTGCACAAATCATAAGTATACAGCTCAATGAATTTTCAAAGTGAATGTACCCCTTGTAATGAGCACTCAGATCAAGAAACAAAGGTCTGCACTGGCTGGCTGCCTTTTGAGGGTAGAGCCACCAAGATTCACTGTGAGATTGGATGCGGAGAGTAAGAGAAAGGGAGGAGTCAAAGAAGACTGTGGTTTTGGCCTGAGCGGTTTGAAGAACGCAATTGCTCTTGTCTGAGATGGGGAAGATTCGGGGAGGAGTGGGTTGGAGGTGGGGAAATTTAGAGTTGAGTACTGGATATGTTGAGTTCGAGATACTTGTTCATATCCAAGTGAAAGTATCAAGTAGGAAGCTGAATACATGGATCTGGAGTTCAAGGGAACATTCTGGTCTAGAAATAATCCACCTACAGGGTGATTCTGCCCTGACTTGGACATAGAAGTTCACTATAGGCCACAAGGGCTGTACCTATTTGAGTTATTACAATGAATGAATGTGAATGAATGAACTGATCGGCAAGCAGGATGACGAACTTGGTGCTGATCTCTGGTTTCCTCTGCCAGCTCCCCTTTGCCTGCTGACCCTGCTGCTGCCACCCCTCAGCCCAGCGGCTCCTATCTCCCCAGCCGAGCCCATCAGTCAAGCTTATAGTCTGGCCCTCTACATGCAGAAGAACACATCAGCGCTGCTGCAGACTTATGTAAGTGACACTGGGCATAAACAGGGGACAAGGAAAGAGGGACACTGCCCTCCTGGCCTAGCCCTGAGTAGAGGAAACAGAGTAAGCCCAGAAGAAAGCTTCCCTGGGAGTCCAAGAGGACAAGGACTCCATTAACTAGAGACACCTCCACACGAATGCTGTCATTGATGGCTGCGTGACTTCGGGCAAGTCATTGCTCCTCTCTTGGCCTCAGCTTTCTCAACTGCAAAATGGGATGTTGATCCTACCTTTGCTGACGTCTCAGGACTGTTGCAACGTTTAAAGGAAAGCACGTAGAGGGAAGGGCTTTACATAGTCATAATAATTATTTTCATAACCTCCTAATGCTGTGTGCTTACTTGAGCCCCATGCCATCCTATCCCCATTATCTTATTGACTCCTCAAACAGTTTAGAAAAGTGGAATTATAGTCCCATTTTACAGATGAGAAAACAGTCTCAGAGAGGGTGAATAATTTGCCCACAGTTTCACAGCTACTAACTGGCAGAGCCAGGATTTGAAACCAAGTCTGTGGGACACCTGCCATGTTTCTTCCTCACTCTTCAGAAGTTAAAACTGGCAGCCCACAGGCTGGGTCTGACCCACAGATGTTTTTAGTTCGGCCCATTCGGTGCTTGTTAAACTTCTAAATATGAATGTCTACCTAAAACAGACACAGGGATCCTGTTGGCCGAAGCTCCTACCTCCCTCTCCCCCCGCATCTTAATCTTGTCTTCTTCCCCCAGTTACATGATCTGCCTGGTCCCCGGAAGCCCTGGAGTTGGTGACTCTTCCACTGTACTATATTCTAGGCCCATGTGAAGTTATTAAATCTAGGCTCTAGTCCCATAACCAAAAAGCCCGTTGTCATCGAGTCAATTGCAACTCATACAGCGACCCTATAGGTCAGATTAGAACTGCCCCATAGGGTTTCCAAGGAGCCGCTGGTGGATTCAAACTGCCAACCTTTTGGTTAGCAGCCAGGCTCTTTAACCACAGAGCCACCAGGGCTCCTCTAGTCCCATACCTGCCACTATTCCCTGGATGGTCTTGGGCAAGGCATGGTTCCTCTCTGAGCTTCAGTTCTCCCATGTGTAAGGTATGGGACTAGGTGATCTATCAGTGAAGGGGCCTATCAGTCTATACTAATATTCTATGGGTCTAAGTCTGTAGAGGCAAGAACTTTGATGGAGAAGGCTCTCACCTAAATTTAATAATGTTAATAATTATTAATGATTATAATAAAATTAACAAACAATTCAGTGCTGTAAATAAAAAAAAGTACTATAACTATACTGTCAATGATATACTTGGATTGAAAATATTATCATAAATAATATAATCATAGTGTCAATTGATATTAATAGAACTATATTATTGATAATTAGTGATGGTTTATCATGCCCTTATTATCTGCCAGGTGCTGTGCTGAGTGCTTTATATTGTATGATATACACACTCACAGATGTATATATATATAATTTCTTATCATCTTCGCGATAATAATAATGTCGTTGGTAGGTGCTGTCGAGTAGATTTAGATTATTAGCAACCGCATGTGAAAGAGTAGAACTGCCCTATAGGGTTTTCTAGGCTGTAATCTTTTCAGGAGCAGATCGCCAGGTCTTTCTCCCTAGGAGCTACTGGGTGTGTTCAAACCACCAACCTTTCAATTGGCAGTGGAGTACTGAACTGTTGCACCACCCAGCCTCCTTACGATAATAATGGAATGTGGGTATTATTAAAAAGCTTGTGATTCAAAGATGCACAGCTAGTATGCAGAAGAGGCAGGACTGGAACCTAATTCTCTCAGACTGCAGAGGCCAGGCTCTGTACTAAAACATCTCACTAACTCCCTGAGGGGTGGTGAATGGTGACTCCCTCTGAGAAGATGGGTCTCATGGAGGGCAGATGTGAAGTCAGAGCTCCAGGGCCCCCTGGGGCCCCCTCACTCCCACCTGTCTCTGTTCCTCATACAGCTCCAGTACCAGGGCAGCCCCTTCAGTGACCCTGGCTTCTCAGCTCCTGAGCTCCAGCTCAGCAGTCTGCCTTCTGCGGCCATCTCCTTCAAGATCTGGCATGCCCTGGAAGATGGAGAGCGGCTGAATCGTGCCCAGGGGGCCTTCTTGGCCTTGACCCAGCACCTCCAGCTGGTTGGGGATGACCAGACTGACTTGAACCCTGACAGTCCCATCCTGCTGGCCCAGCTTGGGGCTGCAAGGCTCAGGGCCCAGGGTCTACTGGGCAACATGGCTGCCATCATGACTGCCTTGGGACTGCCCATTCCCCCAGAAGAGGACACCCTCGGGCTTGTCCCATTTGGGGCCTCGGCCTTTGAGAGGAAATGTCGGGGCTATGTAGTGACCCGGGAATATGGCCACTGGACAGACCGAGCCGTGAGGGACTTAGCTCTGCTCAAGACCAAATACCCAGAATAGAGGAGGTGGGACTTCCTGTCAGAGGCTGCAACACTCCACCTTTCACAATGGACTGAAGTCTGTCTTGCTTGATGGCTAGAGAAGGAGGCACATCTTTTGTAGCAGATAGGACTTATGTGCTATGTCTTTGGGAATATTCTCTGTAAGCCAGGCCTCAGTTCCCTATTGCTTGGGCCTTCCTTCCCAGGTCCTATAGCCTCCCTTCCAGATCTTGGTGGATCTCCAGTGGTACCATTTCCTGGTTGCAAACTTCCTGTGTGGAAAAAAGCGCCTCTCTGAAGAGACTTTGCTTCCCACTCTTCAGGGAGAGGACAGTTGGTTTCCTTCCTGAGCTCTCCCTGAGACCTTCCTGTTCTAGGGACTGCCTTCCTGTCTTCATCTACCTCACTTCCTGCATGAAGATACAACGTTTCTGAGCAGATAGGCCACCCTCCTTCCTGCCGGAGGAGCTCATTTCCTCCCCTAGTCTACCTCTCTGCTTGTGGCCACTGCTCTAACTTCCTGTCTCATGGGGCTTCACTTCCTGCTCAATAGAGGTCCAATTCTTGAAGCTCTAAGGACTTCATACCGTATCAGTTTTCTGCTCAGGACACATCCAGTTCCTATTCCGGACTGATAGATGGTGTCCCTGGTCTCGGGGCCCTCATGAATCTCCTATTTTATACTGTGTCCTTTGGGTATGTCTGGGGTACCTGGCTCTACCCTGAAAATCCTATTCTCCTCAAAGCTGTCTCCCCATATTCAACAACTGTATATACAGGTAACTTTATAGTTTTCTTTTTATTTTGAAACCGTCACAAAAAATTAATTTATTCTCAGAAATAAAACTTTTTTTAGGTGTGCTTTTCTCTATAAACCTGGGAGGGAAGTGAGGAGTGCAGGGACAGGGCAGAGGGAGGTAAAGGAGGGGAAGGACATCACAAGGAGAGGTAGTAGGGCCCAAAGAGATGGGATTGGGGAGAGTGGGGGCAGCAGGCAGGGTGGCCCTGGGGGAAGGTGGCTAAAATTTGTCTGGAGTAGCCCTCCCACCACACGGCCAGCAGGCACTTCCCTGGTCAGGAGATGACAGACAGAGGGACAGAGGGAGAAAGACAAATGAAAGATAAAGGTGGAAGGGATTTGTAATTTGTCGCCTCCTTGAGAGGAGGCTGAGATGTAGACACACTCACATGGGCCGGGGGAGACAAGAGATCCCCTGACGGTAAAGGGGTAGACCAAGAAAGACTGAGGCAGACCCAAGAGGGACAAAAAGAGGAGCAAAGCAAGGAAGTGACAGACACAGAGGAAGTCACACACAAGGAGGCCCAGAGAGAGAAAAAGAGAACAAGACAAATAGAGGCAGAGAAATGGGCACAGCCAGAGACAGAGATTTGAAATGAAGACGTTCAGAGGCAGACAGACAGAGAAGACAGCAGCAAGAGCTGCGCCCCCGCAGCCTGCGTTCAGGCAGGGCCCCCCGGCACCAGCTGGCTGAGGTCGCCCTCTGTGCGGCTCACCCACTCGCGGTAGAGGCCGCACACGCGAAATCCCAGCACCTTAGCCTGGAAGACGCCCGTGGAGGCGGCGGCGGCGGCGGCGGCGGCTGGGAGCGGCTCGG